GCTCCTTTCCCCATCGAGTTAAAGGAGCTGGATTCAGTAACAAAGCTCGTGCTGCGTTTTGTTGTCTGCGCCTCTCGCATTTCAAAGCTAATAATAGCTGTCGTAATGAGGACTGTTCGTGCTCAGTATCGCTTCACGCCCATAGTGTCCCCAGATACCAGCTTTCAAAGTCAGACCAGCCCTTTAAATTCGGCCTCAGTCGCACCACAATAAAATTGATATAGTTGATGATTTATTGCTCGGTTTTGTAGCCAAAAACAGTGCATACGATATCAGATTCATCAAATATAATAATTTACAATTACTCTGTACATGGGAAGATTTGATTACCCCGGATCCCTCGACAATCTGGTACCCGAATCTGGCGGCGAATTCGCGCTCTACCCGTTGAAAGGTCTTCAGAGGATGGCATGCCGCTTGGCCGGCACATTAACACCTAAAAATTGAACGAGAATATGGATTTATTACTTTTTTAAAATTATTTTTGTAACTCACAAAATTTCTAATCGAATGACATTTGTACATGACGCAATTTTCCTCGCCGAAATGACGCTTGTGCAGGGCGAGGATCTGAATTGGCATCGATTTTAGCGTCTCTATTGTTAGAAAACGGTGGAGATCTTTGACTTAGTATATTAGTATAAATTAGTATATTTTATACGCGTTTGATAAACCTAAAAATAACCCACGTTTGTGATAATCTCATCCTGGAACGTCAGCTCGCCTCGTGCGACGACGTTATAGACCAAGAAACCTAAAAAGACACCGTTGCAACGATAAGGTATCTACCAGAATTTATTAGCTAATAAAAATTGGGTTTTCACAGCATTGAACCATCGTTTATATATATCAGAAACTCCGATAAAGTTCTATAAAGGCATATGAATTTACTAAACGCCTAAAATGTGGAAAAAAGTTGGAAAATAGGTCTCAAACGCTTAAGAAACTATCAATTGACAGTCAGAAGCTATCAAATTCAAGCGTTTTGACTCGCTAAAAGTGTCAAATGTCAAAATCTGTTGGTTTCAAGAGCTGCTTATATAACGCGGCAACGTTATCGTCCAGGAACAAATCGATCGGGCATATATTCGGCTTATCGCCGTTATTGTAGCATACATCACCGATAATCGCGTCGTACTGCGCTTCTGAAGATAAAGTGATTGCCTTAAAAACTA